TCCCTCTGAGATCCATCAGTCTGTAACATGCTTCTATATCTCTGGATCTATTTTGTTCATCACTTTATTTTGTTAATTGGATTCCACATTTGAGTCAGATGATGTGATACTTTACTTTCTCTGATTGGCTTATTTTGCTTAGCATAATCTCCAATTCTCTCCTTGCTCTCGCAAAGGGTAACACATCCTTCTTTTTTAGAACTGCATAGTATCCCATTGTGTATTTGTACCACAGAATTTTTGTCCACAGAATTTATGATCTAAAGATTTTAGGTATCATAAATAGCACTGCTATGAACATAGGGATGCATATATTTTTTCTAGTTGGTGATTCAGGGTTCTGACAGACTGACCAGGAGAAGAGGAGGCTTGTGAGATCCGAGTAGCACCCTCAAAGAAGCCTGCAGAGGCAGCCTTCAATAAAACCAAGGTGGAATCTCCCTGTTGAAGGTGCTGATATCATCTCATTTTCCATCCACCAGGTGCCCAAACCAGCTGTCCATTGGCCCACATTCCTGTCTGCTGTCCCGAACAACAGCCATCATGCCTCGTGGTCAGAAGAGTAAGCTTCGTGCTCGTGACAAACGCCACCAAAACAAAGCTGAGAACCAAGGTGTTAAGAGTGCTCAGGCCCCTAGAGGAGAGGAAGGAGAGGCTGCTTGCTGCTCCTCTTCTCTTTTGGGGGAGCCTTCCTCGAGCTTCACTGCTGCTGGCACTCTCCAGGCACGGCCAAGTGCCCCAGCAACCACCGGTGCCGCTGCAGGTGCTTCATCTGAGAGACCTGCTGTAAAAGCCAAAGGCCATGGTAGGAAGAGTAAAAATTCCTCCCGGGCCTCAACTTCCACTGAGAGCTCTGGCCAAGATCTTCTAACTCAGAAGGCGAATATGTTGGTACAGTACCTGCTGTGTCAGTATAAAATGAAGGAGCCCATTAGAAAGAGAGACATGCTGAAGATAGTCCACAAATGGTTCAGGAAGGACTTCCCTGAGATCCTCAGGAGAGCCTCTGAGCGCATGTATGTGTTCTTTGGCCTAGAATTGAAAGAAGTCGAGCCCAATGGTAACTCCTACACCCTTATGGACAATCAAGATGACAGCAGTGATGGGAGTCTGAGCAGCGGCTTTAGGTTTCCTAACAAAGGGATTTTGATGCCTCTCCTGGGTGTGATCTCCTTGAATGGCAACTGTGCCTCTGAGGAGGAGATCTGGGAATTCCTGAATCTGATGAGTGTCTATGATGGGGAGACTCACTTCATTTTTGGGGAGCCCAGAAAGCTTATCACTCAAGATTTGGTGCAGGAGAAATACCTGGTGTACCGGCAGGTGGCCAGCAGTGATCCTCCACGCTATGAGTTCCTGTGGGGTCCAAGAGCCCAAGCTGAGACCAGCAAGCTGCAAGTCCTGGAGTTTTTCTCCAAGCTCAATGATAGTATCCGCACTGCATTGGCACCCCATTTTGAAGAGGCTTTGAAAGAAGAGGAAGAGAGAGCCCAAGCTGCACCCAGCGATGGCACCTCTTCCAACACCAGTAGGCACTCCAAGGCCATGTCCAGCAACTACCCTCACCCTGAGTGATGTCAAGGTGGAGTCTTCACTTTTTTAATAGAACGGCCTGTTAAGCAGTTTCTTATTAAACAAAATATCTTGTTTGCTTATCTTTGTGCAGGTTTTCAAATTTTGCATTTTCAAGTGGTGTACTTTTAGACATATGTTAATATACATCCAGAATATAAGTGTATAGGTTTGTGAAGGACTTGCATCACACATTTATGGCCATTTATTAGGTTAGGAGTAAGAGTTTGGTGTTTTAAATAGAAATTGGGAATCCTTCAGTCACTTTTGTGATCCAGAACCTTATAACATGGCTTATGATAGGAATATCTTTTGAGATATGAAAGAACTTCACACGAAAATAGTTGGGAGAAGTAGATAGATGATTGATTGATGATAGATAGATAGATAGATAGATAGATAGATTGATAGATAAAAAATGGCTGCCTCTGTTTTTAAATGTTTTCAGTTATGGTTGGCGTACAATATTATATTAGCTTCAGGTTTAAAACTTAGTGATTACATATTTATATAATCTACTATATGCTCAACCCCACAAGTCTAGTACCCATGTGAACCATACATAGTTATTACAATATTACTGATTTTATTCCCTAACTTGTACTCATTACCTGTTACAGCCAAGACATGGAAGTGTTCATTTGTAGACGAATGGATAAAGAAGATTGAGACATATATAAAACTGGTCACTTCTTGTTTGCCTTACTACATTTAGTCTTTCGTTTGGTAAATTTTAAAGACATATATCTGGGTTTGCTTATGTTTTTCAAGAATGTTTGAGAATATAAATCCTAGTGAATCAGACCACTTGGTTCATGGTTTTATTTTACACGATAATTAATTGAGCATCAGCTCTTTGGAAGCCTTCATGCTTGTACGGAGAATGTTTAGGCAAAGGAAACCCTGCCTCTATGCCTGACCCCATAATTATAGATTGTAGGAGAAGCTCTCATTACAGAAGAGGGTGAGGTCCCCCCCTTCATAAGAAACAAATGAAAAGGAGAGTAAAGAGGGTCTGGAGATTGCATATTATTTAGTTTTCATTGCTAAGCAAAATTTAGTTTCATTGGGAGCTCAGTGGGCAATCCAGGGTGACATCCAGTTGCTTCTCTCACCCTGAGTGAGGTCTGAAGTGGATTCTTTACATTGTGGTTGGAAATGCCTGTTGACCAGGATTCCTGATGTGCACAAATACCTGTTGACCTATTTTGCGGTTAATTTTTAAGTGGCGGTGTTTCAACTAAAAGCTTATTTAGATTCAGAATATAAGTTTATGGATGACATTAATCACACATTGTTCTGTATCAGGTTTTTAAGAGTAAGACTTTTATTGCTTGAAGTACTATACATGTTGAAAATATTTAAATCACTTTTGTAATCCTGAAAACCACTGCATGGCATTAGAATGAGGGTATCCTTGGTAATGGGCAAAGAAAGAACCATACAAAAATTGGTGGGGTCAGAACATAGGGAGAAAAAAGTAAAAGTTGGTCAATTATGAATTTACCTTATTCCATTCAGTCTGTCTTTTCCTGAATTTAAAAGTTATATACCTGGATGTCTTAAGTTACTCAAGAATGGGTGAGTTTAGGGGAATGTAAAATTCGTGCAGCCACTTTGGAAGACAGTATAAATTTTCCTCAAGAAATTAAAAATAAAACGACCATATTATCCAGCAACCCCACTACTGGGTATGTATATAAAGAAACTGAAACCACTAACATAAAGGGATAACTGTACCCCCATGTTCATTGGAATATTATTTACAATAGCAAACATATGGAAATGACCTAGGTGACTATTAATGAATGAATGGATAAAGGAAATGAGATACACACACACACACACACACACACACACACACACGCGCGCCCCGATATATCATTCAGGCATAAAAAAAAGACATCCTGCCATTTGTGACAGCACATGCAGAACTGGAGGGCCTTATGCTAAATAAAATAAATGGTAATTTTCAAGCAGGGTTCTTTGAACAGAAAGTTTTCAACCCCTGCGAAGCCCAGTAGCAGGGATGTCAGGACGGTTTGGGGCTGGGAAGTTTCAGGGTGAGGCCTTCCGTCTAACATGGGCTGTATCCCTTTTGCAGAGGGAGGGAATAGGTCTCTAAAAAGAATCCAGCCATGTGAAGATCATGACTGTCATGAGGGGATCCTCAGAAAGCAGAGGGGGGCACAGAGTCCAGCACTCTCCTTAGCCCTGTGAGACCCAGAACAGCAAGAGCCCACACATTCCACCTGTGACGTCTCGGAGGGATCGAACCCCAGGTCTGCAGAGACAGGAGTCTTGCTCATAAGCGAGTCAAGGCGAGGACACCCAGGGCTAAATGAGAGGGTGCCTCCCACAAACGGAGGCTCACAGAGCCCCGCCCCCCGTCAGGCCTGCAAGGCCCAGGGCCTAGAGCAGAAGCAGTACGCCGCCCTAACTATCCCAGGGGATTCGGGAGAGTGAGGACTTTGTTTGCAGCCAGGCCCACTCGGGTCCCTAGAGGGAGGAGTCCTGCCTCTGAAGACAAGAAAGTGGGGGCCCTGAGTGGGGACCTAGGGCCCACGGACTCCTAACTGCTCCGCCTCCGGGCAATCAGGCACCCTGGACAGCCCTGCAGGTAAGGACCCAACGGACTTCCGCTCAGGAGCCCAGGGCGTTTCCGTTTCCGGGTGCCTTGCACGTGGAGGTATTGTTGCGCAGGGCGGATTCGCGGCCTGGCGACTGGCGTCGAGTCAAGGTGAGGACCCTGAGTGGGACCTGAGGAAGCCACACCCCTCCATCACGAAGGTGGGCCCCCCCAACCTCTCCCCTGCATTTCGGCTCCCAGAGGCCCCAGCAGAGCCCTCAGACTGAATCCGGCCTGCAGTGTGCTGCTGAGAAGGCCTTGCCCTATGGGTGTGGCCCCCATTCTACAGGTGGGGGACCCCTAGGCCCCAACGGGCGTCACAGNGCCCCCATTCTACAGGCGGGGGACCCCTAGGCCCCACCGGGCTTCACCATGAGGGCCCTGAGTGCTTAAGCCAGACCTCTGTCCATTTAAAGGGGCCACACAGAGCAGCAACCCCTGCACTCAGCTCTAGGAAGCGCCAGGCAAAGGAAACAGATAAAAAGCGAACCACCCACCTCTCCAGAGGTAACTAAGGCAGTCACGGGCTCTCCCCGGCAGCTCCCAAACTCAGCAAAGGTGGTGGTGACCCGGGGCAGAGCTGGCAGGCTGAGGTGACCCTTATTTCCTCAGGTGGTGGTCTCAGAGAGGTAAAGGCTTTGGCTTAGTGGAGGAAGGTCATTCAGAAAGAGGGACCCGTCTCTAACAGGTTTCTGGGTGGTTACACTGAGCGACCATGGAGAACTCCTCCCACAAAGTAGGGGGCACATAAAGTCCCAGCTGTGTTTTCACACTTGAGAGACTAGGACATATCGCCACGATGAGTTGCACTCACTTCTTCCGGGGCCATCTCTGGGAGGTGACAGATCATGTTAAAGAAGGCAAGACACAGGTCAGCAGAAGGAGGATTTCATCTTATGGCAGGTGTCAGGGACAGACCATTAAGGACATTCGAGATGTGCCCACTATACCAGTGGGGCCACAAAAGATCCTCCCTGCCTTATCTGGTTTTTGCTTAGTGGTTAGAGCATCGACCTGTGCACCAAAGGGTGTGGGAGTCGATTCCCTGAAAAGGCTGAGTACTTAGATTGAAGATTCCATCCCTGCCCTGATTGGGGCTGTGGGACACAACCAATCAATGTCTCACTTACATATTGACGTTTTACTCTCCCTCTCTTTCTACCTCTCCCTCTCCCTCTCCCCCTCCCTACCTGCCTTCCACTCTCTAAAAAAAATCAATGGAAAAAATATCCTTGGTGAGGATTAACAAAACAAACAAACACAAAAGAATCCTCCCTAATTTCAGCACTGGCAGACCTCAAGAATAGATTTTAGGCAGGAGTAGGGGTCAGTACTCACTCGGGTATCAGAGAAATGGGGGCCTTGTCTGAAGGTAATGGTCCCAGGCCAGCAGAGGGAGAAATGATGACTTCAGCATGACTCAGATTTAGACCTTGGATTGGGATCCTGTGTGGCACCAACTACTGTAGCACCTCAAACTGCTTGCAACCTCCCCCACTCTAGGGAGATCACTTTTGGTCGGATAAGGTCAACTTCATTTCCTCTTATTGAAGCTCAGGTATGTTGGCTTTTACTGTGAGAAGATCTCTAATGGGAGCGCAATGGAAGAACCATCCAACCCTGAATAGAGGAGATACCAAATCATCTATTCCACCCTTTTGTAGTCAACTCAAGGAATCTTGGGGAAGTTTCTGTCAGGTTGAGCATC